GTTATTTGTGGGGCATAGGATTTCATTCATGTATTTTTTTCAAAATATAGTCTGGCCCCCCACAAGGTCTGAGGGACGGTGGACCGGCCCCCTGCTGAAAAAGTTTGCTGACTCCTGGTTCAGACAATTAAAAAACATTTTCCCTTTTCAACTTTACTTTTTTGTAGGTAAATTTAAATATCATGCATGAAAAATGTGGGCAAGCTGGGATGTATTCCTGGTGGAACAAAATACCAAAGATGATGATGCTATAAGTATGGAAACTGCAATTATATTTAAAATATAACTGCAGTTATATAGCGAGAAATAATGTAGTGCAACAAGGTATCCACTCATGCAGTGAGGCTTCTCCTTCCTCCTCCACACTCCCAAAATCTGTTTTGCAGGAGTTGGGGTACCTCCACAGCAGATATGGGGGGCAAACTGGAAAGGAGAAACCAGAAGCCTTGTCACACAAATTGCACATTGGATATTCTTCACAGAAGTAATGCACACAGTAGACTGAAATAAGTAAAGTTGAGTAATATATCCGCTGATTTTTATGGGTATATTCTGAGGTATGACTTCGTTGGATATCCCCTGATAAAGTAAAAAGACTAATATCATCTGTATTTATCATAAGTAAATAAGGCTTACTTAGAAACACAAAATGAAATATCCTGTTTGAAAACTGTATTTATTTATTTAGTGCCAACAGAAAGAGTCAGTGCAATATTTGATTATTACACTCTTTGGCACAACTCTCTGAAGCATATTATAACTACTGAAGTAAAATAAAGCATATTCTTAATCCTTCTTTCCCTTTCCTAAATTGTCTTCCTTTGTTGAATTATATACCAGCCCAGTTCACTCATAATGGTAAACCATAGTTACCCCCAAGTCTGGAATTATAGGATGAAAGGCAAGCTAAAAGTACTGTTGACAGACAAATAAATAGCTAAAGGTTTACCATGAATGCGTCCATCCGCTCCTTGCTAGCGCAGAGAGAGGAAGAAACATGATCCCTGGCTTAGCATTATGATCAGTAAGTGAAGAACAATTTACAGAGCAAAACAAACTACTGTCTATGTTTGGATGTAACACTAAGCCAGAGATCATGGTTTGTTTCATCTGTGTAGAGGGCTGCCCTCTGGTACTCAGTAAAACACCACACACATTAATAGGGCTATATAAATAAATAGACCTCATTCTCCCTTTGACATCTCAGAGTGGCTTACATGGGCTCCCGGTGGTCCCTCTCTCTTTCTCAGGCACTGATGAAGCCCAAAGCTGGGCTCATGCTTTGTCTTTCTTCAAACAAACCACAAGCTGTGACCAAGGTTTGTTACGTAAGAGCCTTAAGCCAAACCATGACTTCACTTCCAACAGCACAGTAGAAATCAAAGAGATGTGAAGCAATCTTGGTTTTTACTCTGTTCCCCATCATGTTGTGTAGTTGCTTTTTAACTGTGATTTAAAGTGGTAGTATTATTATTATTATTAATTCATTTCTATACTGCCCAAGTGGAAACAAATCCCAGAGATGTAAATGGAAGACACTACCAAATAGTGGATGCAATATACAGTGGTACCTCTGGTTAAGTACTTAATTCGTTCCAGAGGTCCGTACTTAACCTGAAACTGTTCTTAACCTGAAGCACCACTTTAGCTAATGGGGCCTCCTGCTGCTGCCGGAGCACAATTTCTGTTCTCATCCTGAAGCAAAGTTCTTAACCTGAAGCAATATTTATGGGTTAGCGGAGTCTGTAGCCTGAAGCGTCTGTAACCCAAGGTACCGCTGTACAGCAGTCCCAATTCAGACACTACCACACATCAGCAACACCATGGGACTTCCATGCATTTTGAAATTTCTAGAAGATCTTGAGCTTGTGCCCCTCTTCAGATGATCTCCCTCTCCCGGCTCAGAGCCTAGTCTGCAGGTCCATTGTTAATATTTCATCGCAGGATATGATGTCATCATCCAGACCTGCCAGGTTGTTTGGACATGCTCAGACATTAGCGGAAGATTTTTGCTGTTGGCTTCAAATTGGAACTGTACCCATTACGATTAGGACCAAAAAAAAGTAGTTCTGAACTTTTCAGCATCAGAACAATTCAAATTCACATTCCTATCAAAGAAAAGGTGTGCTATCACAGCAAATCTGTTTATTGCTGTGTTCTGTAACAATGCAAACTTTTTCCATGAGGATTGTACTTCTCTGTTCTGTGGCACCTTTCCTTATTTTTCCCATGCCGTATAAACCTCAGACATGGGACTCTTTATCCCCACTGCCGCCCCCCTGGAAGGCAGAAATGGCAATTTTCTATAGGAAAAAGCAATTGTCTGCAATTAAACGAGAAAGCCCTGGTATTTTATTCTGATTTCTTTGTCTCACTTCTATCCCCCCAAAAAGTACCCTTCAAGAGACTGTAGAAGACTGAAAAGAGCAGTGTATTTTCGTAGCGTTTTACTTTCCCCCCCTTCTTTTTAAATACCAACAACAACAAAAAAATCCCTTCATAAGGAAGCAGGCTTGCCTTTAAAAAAAAACCCACCACGTTTCCGATAGTTTTCTGCTTGGGTGACTACGACTTTGTAGAAAGCGAAAGGAGGGTGGAGTGGTGGTGGGGGGGGAGGAATTCTCCAGATTGTATAAGAAATGAACCTTTGCCTAATCACTTGTTTGTGAATAAGGTAACTTTCTGAAAGCAACATGAGCTCTTTCTCACATTGGTCCTCAGGAGTCTCACATTTTTATATCATCATCATCATCACCGCCACCACCATTATTCTTTTGGAGCAAGGCTGAAGTTGCGAGATATAAAGCAGTTCCTGGGGGCAGGAGGTGGGGAGGGGGGGGGAATGTTCCCAAGCAGATGCCTTTAAGAGACAGAAATCATGAATTTCTTGAATTGCAACCACTCTGGGGGTGACTACAATGACTTTTCGGCAGTGACAGTAACTCTGCCTTGTCTCTGGGAGCCCTTCTTCGGCCCATTCACTGCAGAAAGCTGCTTAAATGCACTTAAGCGCATTAGCATTTGGATGCTCGGGGACCACATTGACCCTCATTTGGAAGGTTTAAATGAGTGAAAGATGGAGCGATTTGTTAGGGCTTTAGAAAACCAGCTTTGGAGAGCAGCGGGTTTTCCGCTTTGGTTTGTTCGGGTGCTTGTTCTAATCTGGTGTGCTGTTTAAAGGCGACCAGACTGATTTGTGACACATGAGTCCAAAGAGCTATTTTTTGGGGGAGCTTGACCTGATTAGCTAATTTGTGCTTTGAATTTCAATGGTCGGCATCAGAAGTGGGGAGTGGGGGGGTGGCGGCGGCTCACTTTTGGGAATGGCTTGGCGGGGGATTACCTCACTGGTAACTGCATACAGACACAGATGGCAAAATGTTAATTACTTGTCAAAAGAGACAAAATGGGGTATGAAGCAAATTGTGAGGGTGTGTGGAAAAAGTGATTAGCTGGGGGTTAAAGAGGAGAAAATAAAAAGCAATGGCTGCCTCCATTGGCTTGGTGTTCCCTACCTTACCTTTCCCTTCTCTGCCTGTGTTCTCCATAACACAATCTCATTAACTGAGAAACCTTTGGAGCTTGTTTTCAAACGGCTGACCTACATTAAAATAGGCAGGACATCGTTCTTCTGAGACATGGCTCTTTTAAAATCTAGCCTGTGCAGGTTCCTATTGGTTACTCCAGTGTAACAGCATAGTAGTTTCTAGGTGGCAGAACTCAGAATATGAAAGTAAGTAGAAGTTCCAGCAGATTGCTTTGTTGTACCTATGTGGAACCAAAGGAAAAAGAGAGTTAGCTTTCAAATTCATACCGCCAAGAAAAAAAAGTGTATTTCTTTTATACTGTACTTGGAAAGCTGAAATGGTTTTTGTTTTTAAGATCCCAAATTCATGGAGCTTGTTGCGATAAAAGAGTAAAGGAGGCAGATCTGTTGCTGCTTCCTTCACTGTCTTGGATTCCAAAGACATCAGTAGGGCTAGTCACCATAATAATAAAAAAACCCACAGGGTTTTCTGTATTGGTTTGTGGGGAAATCATGTCTCAGTGGTAGAGCACATATTTTTTCATGAAGGTTCAGTTTCTACCATCTCCAGATAAAATTGTCAGGTGAAAGGAAGGACCTCTACTTGAGACCCTGGAGAACACAATTTATAGACAATTAGTTGGACCTGGTAGAAGGCAAGTTCCCCTGTTCCTCTTAGGATGGTTGTGGGTCAGGGGATACCCAGAGCACTTACTACCAGGACAGTGATTCTCAACCCATGTCACCCTGAGCCTCCTCAAGTTTTAAAGACGCTTAAGGAACTCCCAACTCAAAAGCCAAGTGGCATCTGAGGGCAGCTGCTGATGTTAACATAGAAGCACTGGGCAGAAGATGCTTTCTGCACTCAAAATGTAAGATCCCAAACAGGGATTCATGCATTTTCCTTTGTGGGCTTTTGCAGGAATTGTACCCTTCCCTGAAACACATCCATCCTTCTTTAGGGGAGCAGTCCAGCTTCCCATTTTGGTACTTTCTATCCTACGAATCTGGTTGTCCTTCCAAACTGCCTTTTCAGAATCAAAGCAAAGGATTGGTGAAATTTCTCACATAGGTGGGGAATAAATATGCTAGTATAAAAGATTATGAAGTTCTCCTAACTGTAAGGGGAACAATTAAAGTCTGTGGGGTTGTATTCAGAAACTGCACTATCCTATCTATAAATTGTCATCCGATTTTTTGTGGGAGCAAAGGAGCAGTAAAGAAGGTTACTCCTTATTTTTTTGACTGAGTTGAAATTGGGACTCTGGTGGGAGCCAACAGTAGTCATATTCAGAACAGACACATTGCAATAAATGGAGCTACTCAGATTAAAGTTGCCTGTTACTCTGTAGCTTCAACTAACATTTTGCAAAGGAGGTGGAATTCTTCTGTGTTGTGTCGTATTAAAAATGTTTTTGACAAACAAATCTTCGTTTCTTTTCTCTCTCTCTTTGTATATGCTTCCCTTTAACAGACACTTTGTGCAAAGGCTACAATGCAGACTGTCCGGGCTGCCGACACTAATGAAGTAGTCAAGCTTATATTCCGTGAATCCGATAATGACCGAAAGGTAGGTAACAAAATGCAGTCCTTGACACTGAAGAGAGCACAGATGTAACTGAACATCCCCCACCCAGTCTACATTCTAGATTCCAAGGAGCAAAAAACACTTGCTGACTTCAGTGGAATAAAAAAGCCCATTTAGTTACAAAAATGTTTGTCTAATTTTGAATTCTGGGCAATAGAGGAGCCACATTATTCAGTGACTGGGCTTCCCTCAATAGTCTGGGTTCTCAGCCTTGAATTATTGATATTTGTTGAATCCCAATAAAACCCAAGGAGTCAGGATTCCTTACTTTAAAACATCACTTGACAATTTTCTGTGACAGAGCACACAACTTCTGTACTTCTAAGGTGAATATGTCAAGAGCAGAACATATGGGGTTGTATCCAGTGCCGCTATTCTGTTCACACAACTGACCTGCTTGTGCAATGGAACCTCTGCCCACTTTGGGAACCACTGGATTAGAGTATTGAATCCTGAGATTCTAGGATTCAAAGGCCCACTCAGCCATGAAGCCCTCTGGGTGTCATTTGGCCAGTCTCTGACTCTTAGCCGAACCTACCTCACAGAGTTGTTGTGAGGGAAAATTGGAAGGCGGAAGAAGAACCATGTACACCACCTTGAGTTCCTGGGAGGAAAATGTGGAAGATAAATGTAATCATAGTACTAGTGGGGCAGTTTTAGATTTTTAGTACCAGCATCCCACCCACTTATGGACGTTCTGCTTGTGCATGGCCACTTTTACGTGGGACGCCGCAAGATAAACAAATCAATTGAAACAGTGCGCCTTACCCCATTCAGGGCCACTGCCTGGAAGTCACTCTCAGCCTCTTGTTCACTGCAGTGGGAGGGCAGTGGCCCCGCGTGAGGGAAGGCTTGGGACAGGCCGGTCAGCAACCCTGAGCGGCTTCCAGACAGCAGCCCAGGTGGCACACGAGTCTCTCTTTCTCCTCCCTGCACACACTCCCTATTAAAGTGTGGTGCTCCCCACTTTACGCAGTTTCAGTGATGCGTTCAGGGGCCTGAAACGTAACCCCCACATAAGCAAGGGATGCCTGTACTGTCTCCACCCCCCACCCCACCCCATTTGCTGGTTTTTACATGGGTTTTATATTGATTTATGCTTCTTGTGGTGGCGTTTAAGTTGAGCTTCTGCTGATTTTTGGTGTTGTTGGTTGATTTTAGGTAGTATCCAATGGTGTCCCTCACCCTGAAGGAAGGCTTTTTGATCCAGTGGAGGCTTCTGTAAGTGGAATGGGGGCACCCCACCCCTACCCCGCAGCTCCACCACGTTGGGGGTTGGTACATGAGAGCAGGCATTGGGTGGGGGCCACAGGGGGGAGGCCACAGAGGGAAGCGGGAATCAGCTCACTTAACAAATAACTGTAGCCCCCAGTAGATCAAAGAGCCTTCCATCAGCATGGGGGAAACCCACTTGTGATCTTTGAGGTTGAGATATATCTGCCCAGACTTAGTTGGTGGCTGGTATAGAACTTTTAATTAATATCTAACTAACCAACCAACCAACCAACCAACCGGCACCCATCTAAGAACTACTTCTCACATTCATTTCTCCCAGTGCAAGTATACTGGCATGTATGAAAATATTTGTAATCCTTCTCCTAGGGATGTCCCAAGAATATCGGCTTCCTGCATCCAATTTCTGACTAGCAAGTTTATGGAGGGAAGTTGATATTTGCATAACACCTCCTATAGTGTTGGGTTTTGGGAGGGGAGGGGAAGCATAATGTGAGAAGGGCCCTATGTATCCTAAAATTATGTTGACCCTCCCCTTATTAAGAAATAATAGTAATAATTTTATTAATTATACTCCACCCATCTGGCTAGGTTTCCCCAGCCATTCGAGGCGGCTTACAGAACATATAAAAACATAGTAAATTGCCAAACATTAAAAAACTTCCTGATACAGGGCTGCCTTCTGATGTCTTTATCTCCTTGACTTCCGAAGGGGAGGTGTTCCACAGGGAGGGTGCCACTACTGAGAAGGCCCTCTGCCTGGTTCCCTGTAACTTCGTGTCTTGCAGTGAGGGAACCACCAGAAGGCCCTTGGTCCTGGACCTCAGTGTTCGGGCTAAGCGATGGGGGTGGAGACACTCCTTCAGGTATACTGGGCTGAGGCCGTTTAAAGGTCAGCACCAATACTTTGAATTGTGCTCAGAAATGTATTGGTAGCCAGTGAAGATCCCTTAGGACCAGTGTTTTATGGTCCCAGTGGCTGCTCCCAGTCACCAGTCTAGCTGCCACATCCTGGATTAGTCCTGGTTTCTGAACTACATTGTTCTTAAGGCTTTGTATGTTTGCTTTGGTGGGGGGGAGGTTGTTGTTGTTTTGTTTGTTTGTTTTGCTTCAAAAAGTCAGAAGGAGTCTTGATTTAATGGTGAAGAAAACAGGGATTGAGAAACACAATTTGGGAGAATGCCCTTGTTAATGACCATGTGAAACTATCATTTTTAAAATACTTTACAAGCTCTCTTTCTTCTTCTTTTCCAGGTTATGCTACAATTAGAAAAGAAACTCTTTGACTATTTTAATCAAGATGTTTTTAGAGATAACAATGGCACTGCGGTGAGTTTCCAGCTATACAATTGCATTTTATAAATGTAACGCTCCGCTCTTGAACCCTGGATGCTCCAAGGAATATGTCTATGCATAGCGTGGAAAACATTAATGTCTCTGACATGAGTTAATTTTATTTGTTGGTTTTTTATTTTTACATTTCTAGGAAATAAGCTCACAACCTTTTAAAATTCATTTCAAAGACAAGCAAGCTAAACAGTTTCAAATGAGTAAAATTACATGAGCAAAACCACCACACTTTCCCAAGTTCACATGGGAAACTTGAGTTCTGATTACTTTTCTTTACCGAATTATGGGTTTCCTTAATGTTTTCAACTCGGGTACAAGCAACAAATCACAACTTACCTTGTCATGTTTGTAGAGTTTGTGTTCCTAAGGTTCTAAGCTTTTCTCCCCTAAAATGCTGGATCTTTTTTCAGGTTGCCGCTGAGTATTTCAAAACAACAGTTGCCAAATTTTAAGCACCTTTTCTCTTTAGATTTGACAAAAGACCCGTGTATTTTGTACATAAGTTACTTGTTCCAGGAACAGCTGATGTGGTGATGGGGGGTGGGTTGCTGCAGAGGCAATCCAAGACTCCTGCTGGTGCACTCGTGCAACCCCCACCTCACTGCCACCCTTGCCCACCCCCTGTCCAGGTAAGCCTCTGTTTCTCAAACTTTAAGCCTCCAGCTGGACTACAACTCCCATCATCCCTGACCTCTGGTCCTGCTAGCTAGGGATAATGGGAGTTGTAGTCCAACAACAGCTGGGGACCCAGATTTGAGAAACACTGGGGTAAGCAGTAGCCTTTCCAGTGTTAGGAAAGCAGCTCTGTGGCACCACCCTGGCTGCTCTTGCTGTACATTCATTCTCTGAGATAGTTTGAATGTGTTACTGAATCCTAGGCTAGCACCACAAAGGGCAACCTCAGTATCTCACACGCCTTCCTCTGGCATAGCTATGTGGGGGAGCATGGAAGCTTTTGCTTCACTTTTCAATCAATCACAATCCCAACCCAACAAACTCTGGTTAGTTTTCACTGTGGTTTGTTGAAACGAGACCATTTTCAACCATGGTTTATGAAGCGGTGGCAACAAACCACAGTTGAAAATTAATCACAGTTTAGGGTTTAGGAAATAAGTCCCATTGAGTTCAGTAGGACTTAACTCCCTGTTCAGTGGGTATGGGGCTGCAGATTTCACTTGATTGTGCTCAAGGTTAAAGCTTTGAATTCCTTTGAGATTACTAGGACTCAAATATATATTGGCCTTTTTGAAGGAAAATTCATGATGCAACAAATGGTTAAAATATTTAATTCTGTTCTATACATCCACCTCTCTTTCCCTATTCTTCCTAATGTCTCAACAAATGAAACCGATTTGTAAAAAAGAAGAAGTAACATGGGGGTAAAACGAGAGAGACATTGCACATACCTTTGTAAATCAAGAAAATCTTTAATAAAAATAGATTTTTTAAAAAATCTGTTCTACACACAAACACACAGGCTCATCAAACCTCATATATGTTTACTATCTTCATTTCGTTTCTCATTTGACATTGTGTTAAGGGTAGCATGAAGCAGAATGTTTTCATTAGTGTAACAGAATCATAGCCTGTTCCTACTTGGGGGGGGGGACCTATTATTATCAGAAACCATAGGAGAATCAAAGACACCTTGAAAAGGTTTTCCACATTTGCAGATCTTTCTTGTTGCGTTTGTGGCCCCCAACACCAGCGGGTGTAAATTAACAATGCTTATTGTAAGCCACAAACCTCAATAGTATTGATGTTTGCAGCAGTAAATCTGACTAATAAGGAGATCTACTGCACAAACTAATTTCTTGGAATATCAGGTACTGCTAGGGATGTTCATTTATTTCATTTTTTTATCAATATGAAGACAGGGATACCTTTCACCACATAGGAATGCAATCCTCCTTGTCAATTGCCATTTCTTTATACAGTGGTACCTTGGTTTTCAAACAGAATGCGTTCTGGGAGTCCATTCAACTGGGAGTCCATTCAACTCCCAGAACCGTTCAAAAATCAAAGCATGGCTTCCGATTGGTTGCAGGAGCGTCCTACAGTCAATCGGAAGCTGTGCCGGACATCCGGCTTCCGAAAATCATTCGAAAACCGGAACACACACTTCTGGGTTTCGATCGTTTGGGAGCCAAGGCGTTCAGCTTCCAAGGTACGACTGTACAGTAATATCATGCCAAAGGATTTCTGTTATCTTTGCATATATTAATACATATGCTATTCCTACCTTTCTTATACTAATTGAATCAGGGCTACTTCACTCTTCAAGCATGAATGACTATTGTACGAATCATCACATTTTGGAGCTGTATACCGGGCTTTGTTGGTGCTGTGGTTTAGTCCAGCATTGGTTTTGAAGGTAGTGAAAGTGCAGATTCACTGGGGTAACTACACAGCAATTGGGGGGAGGGGTTCCCAAATCAGAAGGTGGTTCTTCAAAGCAGATTGAGCCCCATCAACGCTTTATATATCTAGAAATAGTGCAGTAGCTTCTTGCATTGCTCCTCTGAAATTGCTCCAGCTGGAATTTACCTGAGCTTCTTAGAATACCGTACAGGATGCATATATGTTGTTCAATATATGTGTATTCCATGTGATGGCATACATCAGCTTTCATCATCTGTTTTGAACTACAGTTCCCATCATCCCTGACCAGCTGGAGCTGATGGGAGCTGTAGACCAAAACTCCTGAAGGGCATCAGACTGGGGAAGACTGTGGGTACCATATATCTCTGAAGGGAAACTTCTTGGCTAGTCCAGTTTCCTCCTCCAATCCATTTTAGAAAAGCCTGGCTACATGAGCTGTTTATTATTTGGGGGCGTATTGAATCCCACTCCTCACCAATGCACACCTGATGGTTTATAGACTTATTCCAGGATGATGCAGATGATCCTCAAGATGTTTGACTTCATCTCCCATCACCCCAGCCAGCTTGGCCAATCGACAGGGGTGATAGGACCTGCTCTCCAACAACATCTGGAGGGCCATAGGCTCGTCACCCTTGATGTACAGGAAATATTGATAGGAATAGCAATCCAATGTGTTGCGCCTTTAGCCTTTTACCCTACCTGTTCAGACTTGTGCACATCTGTCACTGAAGGATGATAGGCAAGCAGAGAGCTGAAGCAACATACTAGCCTCTGAACTGCCCCCTGCCATGGAGCTCTTAACATTCTACCTATTTAGAAGTCGACAGTCGTATCTGGAGATGAGGAACCTGCTAGTGTGATCTCCCCATTAAGGGTGAGGAGATACATAAGGACACAGTCCTAGGACAGTGGACTGTGAGTGCCGAGGGACTCGTAGACCTTGAGTTTATAGTCCCTGCTAAATATATGAGTATATAAAAAGTAATGGGCATTGGCCGTCTGCTTATACAGATAATTCCCTCTGCATGGAAGGTATGGGGAATTCATGGGCATTATGTAAAAGCTATACTTCAGCGCATAATTTTTAACATAGTGCTATCTCACTAGAAATACTAGCAGCCATAAATAAACAATGAAAAAACCCCAGCTTTCCTCTTTTGATGTATCATATGTGTGTTTCAGTTTATTTTTTAAAGCAACTCGAAAGATTATAATTATATTTGTGCAGTATTTCAGTACCATTTTTTTAAAAAAGAAAAGGGGGTGGATGGTGCTAAAAATGATCATTCCTGTTTATGGCAGTTCTTGGCATTCCAGCAGCATTCTGAGCCTCGGTTGGGTTAATTTCCCATGCATGGCTCTTCTCACGTTTGCTTGCAAAGACACAGGCAGGCAGGCAGGCCACTTTAGAACATTATATTTCAAAATCTGTTGCCGTTTCATTTACGCACCGGGAAGCAGGAAATCTTCCAGGTCAAGAATGGAAGAAAAAGATAAATGATATAATGAGCCATTGGAGATAATCTAATCTTCATGGTCTAGTTAAACACGCAGCACCATGATCACTAAAAACAAACTACCTATCTAAAAGGATAAATGTCCCTGGGCCAAATTCAACCCAAAAAATCCATCGCATCCTTCATCACCCACCAGCCTTGTACCAGCCTGACAGAAATTTAATTCAAGCTGGCTCCTGAAAATAATTATTGTATTTTAAGAGTAGTAATCATTGGTCGGGACATGATTGAATGTGTCCATGCCTATTGACTTTTTCTATGATTTATAGCTTTGTTTAGTCGATATTCCCATCGAAATTGTATAATTAATTATAAGTGGGGCTGTCAGGTCTGCAGGATGGAGTGCCCTGATGAGTATTTGGGAAGATTAAATTTTCCTTAGCTATACCGACGCAAGGCTTGGGAATTTTCACAGCAATATGGCTGTTGGATAGAGATGTTTTCTTATGTGTACAGCAACTGCTTGAGCTCAAGATCCATTGATTTTCTTCAGAGCCACCTTTTTTTTATCAGTGTGGTGTCTCTTCAGCAACAGTGGAATTTGTGCAGATGTGACAACACCTGACAAATATTTATTATCAACAGGCTACTTTATCATTGTCCATACACTGTTATCTCTTCTTTTTTTACATCGTAATCCAGAAGAAAAATTATTTTAAAAGGTGTAGAAATGGCTAGCACGCTTGTGAAAAATCTGAAATACATGCAAATAACTAGTTCAACAGAAATACTGTATGATTTCTATTCAGAGCTGCATTTTCCTTAGAGCTGGTCCTTTATTTTTCTTTTTCTTTTTTCTTCTCATGACAATAATGTGCTGCTGTTCACCAGCCTTTTAAGCCTATGGGGCTATTTGGATTTTTAATCAGATGCCATTTTGCTAGCACCGTAGCCCGAATGCACTAACTTGGAAATTACTTTCATAGGTTTAGAAACTGGACTTTGTATAGATGAGACAACAACTGACAAATAATTCATTATCAGCAGGCTACCTTATCATTGCCCATACACTATTATCTCTTCTTTTTTTAACATCGCATTCCAGAAGAAAAAATATTTTTGAAGAAATACTCTATC